CCCTAAACACACACATTACATCCCCTACATGCACACAGTACATCACCTAACGCAGCTGTAAGTGCTTGCGAAATGGTGGCAGGCTCGGGGTGGGCCCCAGAAGCCCAGGCCTTTAGCTATATAAGGGGCACCAAAATCTCTGATGGCAGCCCTGGGGTAGGATTAAAGGTAGGTTTGGGTTGAGGAACTTAGAGTTAGGGTGGTTTAGTATTGAGCGGGCTTAAGTGCAGCATATACAGGCATTTGTGATGCTGTAGACTGTAACTCCCATCATTATAATAAACACAAATACTGTCTGAGAGTAATAGCAGTTACAGTTCACATTGTCTTTAAGGAATTTACCCACCAATCCTCCTCATCATATACCCTTAGCTCTCAGTGACCCAGGACTGCTGCATAAGATAAACTACAGTTAAAGTACAGTATTATAGTATAAGGTTCTTCTCAAATGACCACTATAAGCACCCAGACCACTTCAGCTTAATGAAGTGGTCTGGGTGCCAGGTCCATCTGGGGTTAACCCTGCCTGCTGTAAACATAGCCGCTAGAGGCGCTTCCGCGCTTCTCACTGGGATTTTCATTGAGAAATGCTTTCCTATGGATTGACTGAATAGGCACGCGGCTCTTGCTGCGCATGCGCATTCAGCAAATGATGTCGGAAGAGGTAGGAGAGTCTGCAGCACTGAGGGAGCCCGGTGCTGGAGAAAGGTAAGTGTTTAACCCCTTCCTTCCCCTAGAGCCCGGCGGGAGTGGGGTCATGAGGGTGGGGGGGGGACTATAGAGGCATTACAGTGTTCTTTAAGTGTCACACAAATTCATATTGTTAGAGAGCCTACAATGCCTACTTTTGGTATTGTTTTATGGACTGTGAATCTTCTGCAAGCCTTTAACATTCTCCAGTTACCACTATTAATTAGTTAATTTATTTATTTATTTTTCATTCTTTATTTTTGACTCATGTCATGGTCATATAACAGAAAAAAATCACAGCTGATATTCAACTTAGGCATGGCATCAAACAATTATGGTATAGCATAACAATTATGACAGTTAGCAGGGAATGTCACTGGACCAGGAGCTGAGGGAATTTAGTTTTGGTTAGTTGGAATCAGCGTGTGTTTTTGCGCCTAATGTGCCAAATGCTTTGGACATGGGTTTGGGGGTGATGTGTCTCTAAAGACAAATAGGCTGTGTGTGCTGATAGTGTGGTAAGAGTGTTTTGTTTAATGTGATAGGCAGATGTTTACAGGGAGCATGTGCTCTATGGTGTGGGCTGTTTGGTTTGTGTGCTCCTGTGGGGAGTAATACCCCTTAACCCTGGGGTCACGGGGGGGGATGAAAAAAGAAAGAGGGGGAGCATTGTTGAATTCTCTTAGGCTGTATGTTTGCTAGCTTAGACATCAGGGAGAGAGCAGTCCCGGGAGCAACGGAAGGCATGTCCGTTTAACCTGAGGGCTGTGTGAGGTAGGTATAAGTCCCTGGGTTTATCAGGTCTTGGCTGCGGTGAGGGCTCTCGCTCCATCCCGTCGGGAGACGTCAGATGTCATCTTTGCAGGGGCGCCTGTTGGTGGTTGGACCTCTGGTTGGCTTGATCTCGCCGCTGACAGAGAATCTTGCTGCAGCCCCAGTGTTGGTAGGAGACTCGTGGCGCCCTGCATATCTGTGATCTTGTGCGATGTGTTGCCATGTTGTATTAAGAGCACCCGAGGCCTCCTCCATTGGTATGGTATTTTGTGCAGGCGGAGGAGAGCCGTGAAGGGTTTCATTGAGCGGTGCCAGGCCAGGGTCGCCCCCGACAGGTCAGCATAGAAGGAGAGCTGAATCCTCTCAAACTTGTATGGCGCTTGGGTTCGTGTCGCTTGTAGGACCACTGATCTATCGTCACGGTTCAGGAAGCGCACCAGGAGGTCTCTCAGTGCTGTGGTCGGGGCTTTTAACAGTCGTGGGAGGCGGAACATCCCACCCAGGGCTGTTTGTTTGGCCTGTCTGGGGGGGCAGAAGAGTGGACATCTCCTCACCAATGCCCCTTATCTTGAGGTTCAGTCCTCTTCTCTGGTCCTCCAAGTCTGCGAACCTTTGGTCGAATATTTGATTCTGTTGCTGTAGGTCGTGTACGTCTTTTTGCAGCTGTGCCGTTTCTTGCATGTTTCGGCGGAAGTCGGCTTCCAGCGTGCTCAGGCTGCCTGTGAGGCCTTGCAGGTCTCCACGGATTTGGGCCATACCAGCTTGGATGGTGAGCTGAAGCCCCGCTAGGAGTTCCTTCATCACCGCTGTGGTTACCGGAGCGTTATCTGCGGGTGGGTGAGCTGTAAAGACGGGTGAGTGGTGAGTGTCAGCCCCGCTTGTAAAGTCGTCTGATTGATCGGAGCAGTCATCGGCGTAGGTGGCCAGGTTTGTGCTCATGTTGGTGTGAGCTTGCCACCATTAGTCCCCGACATTGCCGCTCAGCTGAGGTTTATCGTGCTTGGACTTCTTGGTTTTCCGACCCATTGCGTTAGTTGCAGCTGGTGGATCCGTTTGGGACCTTTTGTGGGTAATTTCGGTCACTTTAGGTGTCTCAGAGTGAGTGGTTCTCCCCAATTATTTAATATTTTTAATGATGAGAAGTTGCATGTATGTGACATCATCAGATACACTGGTGATGTCACATCTGATGTTTAAAAAGTCTGTTGGCGTAAATGACATTCAGATATATACATTTCTGCTGGGGTTGGTTATCATGTGGGAGGTAACCCTGGGAGGCTGTGTACCTATAAGTTAAGTTCTAATTTTATATTGTTTTATTTCACTGGTGCCAGGTGGAATTGTCACATTTATAACTGGAGATGTCACATCTGATGTTTAAAAAGTCTGTTGGTGTTGATGACATTCAGAATTTAATTTGGACCTACGGTTTAACCCCTTAATGACAGGGGACGTTCTATGCCATCCTTAGGGAACCGGCTCTAAATGCCAGAGAGCAGAATAGAACGCCCCCGCCGTCCTATGTACTTAACCGGTCGCCGGCGATCCCACGCCAGCGATCGCAATATGGGGACTTACCTGGGAGCCCAGGGAGTCCCCATCCTTCCTCTCCGGTCCCCCTGGGCCATGTGATCACATTGTCAGCAGGGGGAGTGCCGGTAATGACAGGTACTCCCCCTGCAGCCTGTAAATAAAATAAAAACAGTTAAAACTGTTGAAAAATAAAATTGATATACTTAGATCAGTGTTTGTGACCAAGTGGCTACTAAAAAAGACTGAACATACTCCATTTGCAAAACCTTGTGTTGTCTACTTTTGCAAATGGTATGCCATCATGGGGGTAATTCTCATTCCTGGGCTACCATACATTCTCAAAGGCAATGTAACTAATCTGGCGAATTTCAATGTGAAAAAAACTGAAAAATTTAACATTCTATATTTGACCCTGTAACTTCCCAAAACACCGCAAAACCTGTACATGTGTTACACATGAGACATCGCTGAATACAAATATGTGTATTTTATTGCAGTAAAAGCAAACAATATTATGACATTCACAGTTAGAATGTCACGTAGAACTAAACATTTTTTTTAAATTCTTATTTTCTCCCATTTTTTAATATTTTATTCATATTAAATTATGTTTTATACCTAAATATTTGATGTTAAATAAAAGCCCTGTTTCCCCTGAATAAAATGATATATAATAAGTGTGGGTGCACATAATATAAAAGAGGTGAATTACGCCTGAATAGACATATAGCGCAATTTCAAGTTTTTGTTTACGTTTTGTTTTGATCACAACGTGTACATTTGGCTCAGTCCTTAAGGGGTTAACAATACCCTTTAGAGTTGCATTATTCAATGTTCATCAAAATGTTTGTAATTTTGCTATTTAAAGCATCCATTATTAATGATGCTGTTGGGGTATTGTTTGAAAAATATTGGATTTAGAATTCTCAAAAAAATGTTTAGCTTTAAGGGACATATTCTGTCCTGATCATAATGATAAAGATGAGTTGTGGACTTTTCCAGCAATTTAACCGAGAAACGATATATATCCTGAAATAATACGCAATACTCAGCAAGAGATAAACCTCTGAAGACACAAGCATGCAACATCGCTGTTACACATGGTTTACTAAAATAAATAGCAACCAAGTTAAAATGAGAAATTACCCGCTTGATTGGCATCAAAGCTCAAAAAAAATATCAGATTAACTGGAAAGGTCATTAATTTGCTAAACCTTATTCCATGACCCACATAACAAACCAACCATTCAGTGCATACGTCAGCTCTAGACCTTTGATCTGAAATGTAATTTTACAATAAACCGTCTTTTGTTTGTTGCCAGACTGAAGTATGTCTTTTGATGATAACTATCTCTTAATCATTGTGTAATATAGAATAAACAGAGCTATGTCTTCTTTTCCTGTTCCCTTTTAATGGGTGTCAGTAAACGGCAGTCAAAGGTAATGATCAAGTGATTTCTGAAAATACCCCAGCATTGGGCATCTATACATACTTTATTTTGTGTGTCAAGACCAATTTAGTCTGGAAGCCGTTGGCTTGCCATGTCCTGACATGTGCTCTCCTACTTCAACAAGTAGCCTCAAACAATTATTGGGGCTAGCATATTTTTCAAACCCTGTCGCCTAAATGAAGCTCTGTAATTTATGAGATATCTGACCCCTGACTTAGCTGGTTTACATTTAAAGGGATACTATAAGTGCAAGGAATACAAACACCTTTGGAGGTAAAAGAAGTAGACAGCCACTGGAGGTAGATGTAGAGCTGCAATGTAAACATTGCAGTTTCTCTGGAACTGCAGTGTTTGACATTGCAGCACTAAGTGCAATAGGGACAATGCACCCAGACCACTGCAAAAAACTGAAGTGGTCTGGGTGCCTGAAGTGTCCCTTTAACAGATGCTAAACTAATTTCAGCATGGTTTAGCCCCTTTATCACATATTTCACAAATGTACCAATGTTTATTTTGTTTAATAAAGATAAAAAAGTAACTCCCCAGGGGGCGGGGCCTGACACCTAAGATGGATGGACGCATATCTCTGTAGCTCCGGAGTTATGGAGCAAATATAATGGAAAATACCCCAAGAAATACTGAGCAACCGATTACAAACGGCAGCAGAATAACCCCTACATAGCCTGTTACACCCCATGGGCAGATTACACCGTCCTTGGGGGGAGTTCGACCCAAGAGGTCCTGCGGCCTAGCACGACTAGAGGCCTTTTACCTGGGAGAGGCGGCCGATCTCCCGGCATAGGCCCTACAAATACACTGAGGACTCTTTGCTGCCCCGTTCTCCACCCCCTCTGGACCGGTGGGGGTCATCACTAGCTGAAATCGTTCACCTCCATTGCTTATAGTCGACCACACACATCAGAGACAAGGGTCTCAGCAAAATGGCGGACTCACCACTCATTTCAAAGCACCCTTTGTACAACCCAGCGGAGTATTAATTGCCCGGTGGAGCAGTCACTCAGGCGCCTAGAAGCGACCTTTCTATGATTCTGGGCAGAATTAGAGAAGCGCATGGTCCCGACGCCACATCAGCCACAAATGGAGGTACGGGGGCATCGGAGAGCGGAGAGGTGCAGACAACCCCTGAGTGCAGCCCTCACCCCAGCGCCAACTACCTCTGTTACATGCCTGCCTAAACCGAAGGCTACCAGGTACCTACCCCCACAGGACCAGCCACCTTGCTGGAAGATCACATGCCGGCTGCAGGACTCCCAGGCCATCAGATGCTTCTACTCTGGGAGGGACTCTCGAAGCAGAGCCCGAGTTACGAGGAGGCTGGCCCCTATCGGAGCTAGAGATAGGCCTCACAATCCCCTCAGCGTACCACCTCCCACAGCTCCCCAAGACCTTGCTGCCTACCAGGGATCGGGTGAAGAAGATGGCTCTCTCACAGAGATTCACCTACTCCTTCCCAACAGGCGGTCTACAAAGCCTGATATCGGGACACTCGATACTAGGCTTGCTGCCCCAGCAGGGTATAGGCTGAGTTAACCCTTCACATCCCCGGCACTACACACATAATGCCGATAAGCCTACTTGCTCAACAGTCAGGAGCTGATGTTCTTTTTCATTTGGTTTCCTCGGTTATACTGTTTATATAGTCTATCCTATACTGTTATTTCTGTCTTTACTGACTCGCCATAACACTGGGCATACAACTTACAAGGCAACCGTTAAGCTGATAATTCTGTTTAACATGCACTACGCTATTCTGGTCTCCACTTACTCACTATAAGCACACACAGTGCATACACCTTTCATTACTAACACTAAGCTAAGTGTACCGACCAACATGCACTAGATTATTCCTGTCTATTAATTTCATAGCACATTGCCTTAATATATTTAATTATTTTGTTATTCAGTGTCAGACTACAAAGCACAATTCCATTGATCCTTACGCATTTTCATACATTGTCACGTCTGGATTTAACATGTATTTTACTTTTTAAAAACAGTGCATTGTATTTTTATGCCATGTTACAACCTGTTGACGAACGGTCTCATACCGCTATTATGGCGTAACAGACCTAAATGTTAATTCATGCACAAATAAAATAAAGAATTTTTTAAAAAAAAGTAACCCCCAGTCACAATGTACTTTAGTTATTCTTCCTTCCTAAAGAAATATTTCCCAGAATCTATAGATGTGCTTATTTCTCCATAGCACAGATGTGACTTTTTGAACTAATTTTTCTGTGCAGACAATCAAGCCGCAAACTTTTTTTTTTTTTCTGTTTAGCTATGGTTGCCTCAATTTAATTTGTTAAAATTCTGTTTATTAAGTAACAGTAAGTGTGATTTTTGTTTGTTACACTTTTGTTTCAGGAATTGCAAATTACATATCTGGAGGGAGGCAGATGAGGAAAGAATGAAGACAAAAGTTAAAATAGAAAAAATCTCACATTTCTGGCAGAACAATCTTGAGAAATAAGTTTGACAAAGCTATTTATATTGCTTGAAGCAGCGCATGCTTTCATATCATATCATCATACAATTAATTTCCATTTTACAAAAAGGAACCAGTCAAATAAATGCTATTATTATTATAGTCACAGTCATTAAGCCAAGACATCCCACCAAGACTTCTCTGCTGTCAAATAATATAGACTAGATTTAGTCACCATCTGGTAAATTTAGAATTTATATACTAGAACAGGGGTGCCCAAAAGGTATATCCCCAGATGTTGTAGAACTACAACTCCCATGATGCTTTGCATGTCTTTAGAATGAAAAAGCATCATGGAAAGTGTAGTTTTAAACCACCTGGGAAGCTACCTTTAGACACCCCCGTACTAGAATATGTCACTTAGTAAACCTCCTGTCCGTGTTGTTGAAGATAACATGCCCCTGAGACTACATGTCAGATAAATTGCACATTACTGCTACAAGCAATGAAAGAAACATAAACCTCAATAATTTGGTTACTATATATCTACAAAATTTTGTGGTCTAGGCTTCCTCTTACAGTAGGTGTCACTCCATTGTATAAAAACTGCACTGGGAGTTCACCAAAACATATTCAGCCCTGTTCTACATAAAGGTCTTTGTGTTTTTAGTTCCCATAAGTAGTACATCACCTGAGAAAAAGGAAGGACAGGGCGGGAGGGGGGGAATGGGGGAGGGAGAGAATAAGAACAAAAATGCCAAAAACATTGCTGCAAGTGTACCATTAAAAGAACCATTGTGACAAACAGAAAAGTGAACTAAAAAGTGGATATGGTTTTTTTAAAATAAAATTTGAGTTCATGATCTTTCTTTTCAAGAAGTAGTTTTTTTTTCTGCAGTCAAACTTTTTATGCAGTTCTAAAGTTAGGACCTCGCAGTCATTTTCCCCTTGTCTATTGTACACAATTTCTGGGTTGATAAATAACCATCAAAAAGATAACCCATAAAGACTCACAAAATGTGTGTTATTCAGCCATAAGGCTTCATAAATTCAAATTCAACTCCACAACTGTGTAACCTTTGATTTTATTTTTTTTATATTTTAAAAGTGCATTTATGGTTTTTAATGTACAAATATATTACAGTAATAATGAATTTGCGAAATGCGTTTTCATTATACCTGAATCTTAACTGTTTTCTTTTATCTTTCTTTTCTCTTGGTACCATAACAAAGGAATACTGTATAAATTATCAGAACACTTGCAGGAAAATAACAATCTCAAATTGTATATTTTTCAACATTTTAACTACTGCCAATGAGCCATTAAGGATATCTAAGTGATCATAATCCCACTGTTATTATACTTTTTGACAGCACTTTTACATTTATAGAATTGGCAATAAAGGACCCTTTAACTTACATTAAGCCTGAAAGCCTTAGCAATCAGAATCCTGGTGAAAACAGGTTAGTGATACTCTAACAAAACTATGGAACACACACAGGAACATAATAGGTTAATGACACAACTGTCACCTCTTAGTAAAATCAATGGAATTAGCAGTCTGCGTATTTCAAACAGTAATGTAACTGAAAATCATACAAAAGTGCCCGTTTTTTCTTTTTAACTTTGTGATATTGAGCATATTATTGCAAAATTAACAACTAGGACCAGTTTTAATTTGATAAAGTTATCTTATTTTGTTACTACCATGTAAAAGGTTTTTAGAGATCTGGATTATAACGGTTTCAATAACTGCCTGTCACGGGGTTGTACCCCAACTTACAGGAATGTCAAACCCCACAAACAGAGGTACTAGATAGATGTATTACCGGGCCTTAGAGTGACTGGACTTAAAGTAAGAAAGATTAAGACAAAGTCAGTAAAAGACAACATCAGCTAGTGGAATAACGAGTTGGGTCAGGATACCAGAATGACATGAATCAAGACTTACTAAAAGCACACTGACATGTATCAAGGCACAAACCACGATAGAGCATTGAATAATGGCTCTATTTAGCATTATATAGGCTAACAATGTTTCTGATTGCTCATCTCTGCGAAGCCAAAATGTTTCATAATGTGGTCGCCTGGATGATGTGGTCACTTTAACGGAGTTCATGACATCACAGCATTCGAATTTATAAAAGACGATCAAATGGGCAGCATCTTATATTTAGCAGGGAACAAAACGGCTAAGAAGATTTCAGCCCGTGTGAACCGCCAGAGGTTGCTGTCCCCAGGCCAATGGTAAATATGGAGTATTCCCTGTTGAGGCCATGCAGCCACGTGGAGCTTTCGGCTTGCGTAGCCCAACAAGGGGAGTAGCGAAGACGTTAAGGGCAGGTAAGCACGTTATACCCTCATGCTATTCTAACGGAAAGTCAGAAAGCGTTTTCAATCCCTTCCTAATGCTGAATTTTATGGACTTAATTAGTAGTTTGGAATTTTTAATAGATGTGCATGTCACTGTCCTAACATATCTTCTAGTTTGAATAAAGGATTAAAGTATAACTCTGTATTAGGGATGTGCATGGGCAACAAATTCAGTTTGGTTCGGAACTTCTGAAATTCGGGACTTCGGCAATTCGGGACTTCGGTTCGGTTCGGCACTTCCGAAATTCGGGACTTGGGACATTCTGAAGCATTCGAATGTCAGAATTGCCTGAAATTCGTTCAAATTCACATTCAGACCGAAATGAATTGCACATGTCTACTCTGTATCCCTATGTAGTTAAAATGACTTGTCACTTTTAGAAACATTATATTTATTCACATATTTAACAGAGGCAGAGGGGTAATACCCTTGGACAATACAGAATAATGTATTGTTGTTAATGGGAGTATTCCAAACTATGGGAAATAATTAATAAAAACAATGAGCTGTGTTCTAGGTAAGTCACTCTAAGCGTGTTTCAGGTTTTGGTGTTCTTGATTGCAAGGGATTTTGTTTATACATGTCTGTTAGATCAGTTGCCTTTACATGTTGGAAGCTTGCTTGATGGTGAGTCTGGAAACAATTCTCATGAAACAGTATGCTTTGTGTATGTTTAGAGCAAGCATGTCAAAATGTTTCACATGTTACGTACCCATAGGATTATGGTTTCTGTAGTTTTTTAGATTATAAATTAGTTTGCTTTCTACCTCCCCCAGAAATAACTATTCAGAGATAGCTGTTGAACGAGATCTGATTTTGCAGTTTCAGCAGAGGATATAAAAATATAAAGTAGTAGATTAGTCAAGGGATGGGGATCATTTGTAAAAGCTCATGTGAGCAGCGTGTGCTATATTTATGTGATAGATATATAGATAGACGGACAGACACACACTCATACACACATAGACAGACAGACAGACTATGCCTAAACAATAGGTCATACTGCTAGTATTTAATTATGTTCATTATTTTAAAAGGAATAGGTATAGTGCTTTGAAATAGTTAGAGGAAAGCTGATAATTAGAAGGAAGTTTTAAGATTAACCAGTGTATTTTATTGAAGCTTCTTTCCCTTAATCTTGATGCAAGTTTTTTTAAACTCTGGCAGGCAGATTGCTATTGGGTGGCCACGAATCCTGAAGCCTTCTACAATTACTCCCTTTCCTTTATGATAGCAGCATAAAAACGGTGTACTTAGGAGGATTATGATAAAGTGATGTCACATACCAATGCTTAACTGTTGAACTCATCCACCTTAATGCGTATAAATAGCGTTGGATGACTGAAGTGTTGAAGATGAGAAGCCAGGGAGTTTAACTTGCTAGTCAAAACAGCCCTGTCAAACAACTCTGCAAAGTTTTGCACAGTTTACTATTTTATTGATTAGTGGTTACTTCATTGATAATGATTTCAAGGAGGAATGTGTTATGTGTTTGTCATTATGCATCCAGATGCATATTAAAGGGACATTGTAGGCACCCAGACCATTTCAGCTAAATGCAGTGGTCTGGGTGCTGTGTCCCTTTTGCACCCAGTACTGCAATGTTAAACATTGCAGCTCTAAGGCTGCCCTCAGTCTCTGTCTACCAGACTGCCAATAGAGGGCTTCCGGAATCGAAATGGACTTTTGGTCCATTATCTGATGCTGGACGTCCTCACACTCTGCATGAGGACCTCCAGCATCAGATTTTCCCCATAGGAAAGCATTGGTGAATGCTTTCCTATGGGGAAATCCTAATGCGGGCACGGCCATTCCCACTGACCCAAGTCAGATAATAGTCCTGTGTTGTTTCCTCCATAAGGTCAGCTGGGACTCTTCTCCGCCTTTCTTTGGTCTTGCAGACCTATTGATTTAGATTGGCTGCATCAGGTAGTTTAAGTTGGGGGTGGAGAGGTGTATAGCGCTGCAGTCGGGGAGAGTAACGGCCAGGGTTAAGGCCTGAGGGAGAGCCGACCGCCGCAGTGGCTTCTCGTGTCTTCTTTTCCTCCATGACCCTCTTGGAACATGTTGGAGGTGCTTATGAGGGATGAGTCACTCAGCAGGATGACTTCGTGGGACCATGACTCGTTCAGTGGGGGTAGTTGTAAGTCTCTGGTATTATAGCTTTGCTAAAAAAATCTGCGTACACTTAATCAAACATCAAGAATAGCTGATCTACTTGACATTGAATTTGTGAGAAAGCAGCCATTGTCGTAGGTCTCAGCTGGGCAGCCATTTTGGCGGTTAGCTGAGTAGCTGGTCAGCTGGAGGTTGTGATAGGATTCCCACCTCAATACACCAGTGGGGACCAGGATATCCCCCACTGGCCCAGGGGGGGGACAGGGCACCAGGCCAACAGGCTCCAATTCAGGGCTGGGGATCAGCCGCCTCCCCAACGTCGAGTGCCGCTGCAGGCCACAGGAAAGTTCTGACCAGGCTATATTTGCCAGTTGCAGGCAGTCGAGAGTCAAATAATCAGCAGGGTGCTCCACAGGGTTATGGAAAAGCTTTTTAACCAAAATAAAAGCAATTAAGGCCAATAACAGGCTCAATAAGTGGGCTTCCCTGAGGAGCTCTAGCACCATGCGTCTGTCTCGGTTAGCAGTCAGGCCCCGTCCAGACTGAAGGAATTTTAACCCCTTCAGACCCACAGGAGGGAGGCGCGAGGGAGGGGGGCTCCTTAGAAACTTGTAGTGCCAGGAAAACAGATTTGTATTTCTCGCACCTTTAAGTTTCTTCAATACTGAGGCTGAAAACTGTACTTCTACCTGTCAAGTTAGAAGTAGTCACACACACATATATATATATATATATATATATATATATATATATATTAAAGCTACAGAAATTATGTGAGATACCAGCTCAAAAGGAGTCCTACTGCAACATCAGGTTTACTTGTACGTTCCTACACAGCATAACTGTTTCAACCCTAGTGTTGAGCTTCATAATGTACATGGTCAGTAACAAAGATCTTCGTGTTGTTTGCAGATGAGATCATTTTCATTTTCAAGGACATTGTCAACAGTACAGATTTATTAGTCGAAGCTTCACTAAAGCAAGTGAACATAGATAAGGGAAACATTAATCCAAGAAAGACAATTGTGGACAAAGTCAGTGTTGATCTGCAGCAAGAATTTGAACCAGGAAGGTTGACTGAAATAAGGAGACATTGCTGGCAGAAATTACTTGTGTGATACGACGTAAAATACAATTCTTTTTAGTAAAAGGTCGAAACTAAAAGAGCAGAGCATTAATATGGGATCCAGATTCCATAAATGACCAGATCAAGAAAAAGTC